CCCCAGGTGCCAACTGGCTGGGCCCTAGAAGCTCCTGAGCTACTTGACAGGGCAGGTTTTTGTACTGATGGGGCCAGGACAGGGCAGATTTTTATACTGCTGAGAACAGCACAGGTGCTGGCCCTGGGCTATAGCTCCCCCTGGCTGCAGATCGAGGAGGATCCAGGCTGGGTCATTTTACTCCAAGTGGCACAATTTACCCCACACCAAAGTGCATGTCCAGGCATGTGCACTGAGGCAAAAATCCCAGTTCAAATTTGCACCACTTCTATTTGAGCTGCTGCAAGTGCACATGCTTGCATATGTGAATGTGCCCTTAGATTGTTATCCCTGAGCCATCTTTCAAATACCTGAGTCATCTCACCTTCTTAATCAAGATTCATGTTAAAACAAGTATATCTCATAATGAAATTTCTCACAGAGAAAGGATGTTTTTGTGGTGACGGCACTGTACTGGAACTCAGCAAATTATAGTTTCAGTTCCTTATTTGACCACAGCCTTGCTGTGTTGGCCGTGGACAAGCTTTTTTTTTTTCATGAAATGAAATTTTCAGTTAAACATCCCAGAAGGGTTTTAGCTAGTTGTTGTTAGTAGTTTTGGATTACTCTTTACAACCCCCACCCCCAATGCTTCAGGCCCGACCCCATTCCCTCCAGTGGTTCAGGTCCAGGCTCATTCTCCCCCCACCCCATTCCCCTGCCACAGCGGGTCTGACCCCAGCCTCCCTCTTCCCGCCGTGGTCCCAACCCCATTCCCCACCCCACCTTGTGCTGCCACCACCTCCAAGAAGCCTCCGTCCCCACTGTCATGGGGACACTCCACCACATTCCACCATGCGTCTGTCTGTGCAGAGCACTCTGATTGGTTGTTTCAGTAAGCATTGTGATTTGTTGCCAAGACAATCAATCAGAATGCAAATAAAGTGTTACAGACAAACAGACTGAGGTTTTTATATATATAGAATTTTACACAGTTTCTTCTGGCACCCACGTAATAGCATCTGAGCACTTTGTACTAGTATATTAATATGATTAACATCAGTTATGAATAGCTTGTTCTTTTTTTTATCATGTACACTTAGAATTTTTTTTATGCAGCAGTGTTGGAGAAGGCAAAGTCAAGGTCAGAGGAGAAAAAAAGCACACTTCACATACCAGTGGAAGGTAGTGAGATTACTACACACAGGTGTTCATTGTAGTCTTGGATCCACCCCAGAGAAAGCCTTGTGACAGAAAGTTCTACTAAATTGCTAACTGCAATCCTCATCCCTGAACCTTACGCCTAGACCTTCAGCTAGATAATTGAGGACCTTGAAAATTATGACTGATATAAAATTGTTATAAAATTAAGTAGGTAGATTTACATTTCTTTTCTATGTTTGGAATTAGCTGCTCTATGTTCTTTTCTCAGTCATTGGCATAACCTCTTGTCCAAATGCTTGAACTCTTATCATAGAATCAAAAAATGCATTAAATAAATTGTAATAAGTTATTCTCTCTCAAGTTGTTAGAAATACGTGCAACTTTCTACTATTGAACTTTCTACCTTCCTGTGAGCCTGCAACTTTCTACCATTGATGAGATGGCAACACTGCCACTTCGCTTGGGAAACTTTTTGTCTTGTAGCCTTTCTTCCCTACCCTCCTAATGATAAGAATGATCTCATTTGCCTAGATGTATTTCCACTCTTCTTAGAAAAATAACAGATTTCTTTGTTTAAAGATTATACTATATCTGTTAGTATCAGAAAGAATATGCCACCCTACCAGTAAGCCTTTAATTTCTTCTGCTCTGTTAGATAAGTTTCAGGATACAACTGGTATCAGTTGTGTCTGAATATAAAGGCAGTGGCAAGTTGCCATAAAAATTAATAGTTGAAAGAAAAATGAGGAAGGTAGATTAAGCAAGCAGTCTGACAGCAAATATGAATTGCTAAGATGCAGATCATAAAGGAAAAAACTCAGGGGAGACTGGATCTTAGACAGACACTCACCCTGTTCATTAAACTTTAATGTTTGTATCAACAGCTTCATATGACAGGAAATGATCTGGCCGTTTTGGTCACTTATGCTGGATGCCCTTAGTTTCACAGTGCAACTGACAAAATGGATTATACCTCAGAAGGAGCTGCAACTGAATATTCCCTCTGACTTTAGTAAGGAAAGTGCAAGGATGAAATCTGTGGACTATTTGCACACCGTCCAACAGAAGGATACCACCTCCTCTCCTCCTGCCCCCCATGCTGTTGGGTTGAGCAACAAGGGACTTTTCTCTGTTGCATTCCTGTGGCTTGCAATGCTCCTGTCCTCTTGTCTTGCAGCAGTGTCTCTTTACCATGTTATTACACTGAAAGCAGAATTAGCAACTCTCCGCAGCGAGCTGATCTACAAGGTTCAGACAAGATCACCACTAACCCAGCCACTGGTGTCTCTGAACAAGCATAAAGTGGATATCCCTACTTTCTCTTCCTCCTTGCAGATAGCAGCAAGTACCAAGCAGGTGAGTTTCAGTGGCCTTTCAGATCTGTTATTGACTGCCAGGAGGAGGAGGGGGTAAGCATCCTGGACTGCTTCCATTGCTATAGTTTTGCTTATCATCATTAGGAAAACAGGCTGCCTGCTTCTGAGGCAGGTGAAGGTGACCCAAAGAAAGGCTGGAATGGAGGTAGAACCAGGGAGAGACGGTCACTTCAACCCACAGAAGAAACAGGTATGGAGCAGGGGAGGGCGGGAGGGTATTGCTGGAGAAAAGAGGTCTGGGTAGTACAGAAATGTAGGGGATTTAGCATGGGATTCCAGGAAAGCCACACAGCTCAATTCTTACTCTTTGCTGCAAGCAGACTTTTGAAGGCACCTGAATCCCTTCTGCTTTATACCAGTATAGCAAAGAGTTTTAGCATTAGAGGTATTCCCTGAATGGAATATTGGTTTCTCTTTCTCTAATCCCACCCCGTGCATAGTATTTACCTATACGTGCTTTCTGAATGTTTGACTGTTATGCAAGTTTGGATTTGCATCCCAATCTAGTTTTCATAAAAGAGGCAGTCTAGAATGAAATAAACCAGAGCAGTGAATTTCAGCAATTCTGAACTGTTTTATAGCAGTCAAACTTCATGGTTCATAATTTAAGCTATCATATAGATGCTATCTCTTTGGTCCAAAGTGGGGAAAGGGAATTTTTATTTCCAAACAATATCAGTGTCCTTTTTCTGGGAAAATCCCTTTCCTATGAAAAACAGAACTGCCAGGAGCTTCATAGCTTTGTTTCGGGAAACATGACATTTTCAAAAGAGCATGAATTTGTATCCGTCTACAGACACAATAAAATGATTCCAGCAAATTAGTCATTCATGGCAATATGTTTACCTTACACAGAAATACTT